GCACATAGCCGCTCACCGCGACTACGAGCTTCACTCTCTTGACTTCAGCACTGCTTTCTTGCAGGGCAGCCTGCACGAGGAGATCTGGCTGCGCCGCCCCCCTGGCTTCACTGGGTCATTTCCTCCTGGCACCCAGTGGAGGCTTCAGCGGCCGGTCTACGGTCTCCGCCAGGCGCCACGTGAGTGGCACGACACACTGAGGACTACACTTGCGGCTCTTGGGTTCGCTCCCTCTACTGCTGACCCGTCGCTGTTTCTACGCACCGACACCTCGCTGCCGCCTTTCTACATCCTCGTGTACGTCGACGACTTGGTCTTTGCCACTGCTGACACCGCGGCACTCGCTCACGTGAAGTCGGAGTTGCAGAGGAGACACACGTGCACAGACCTGGGTGAGCTGACGAGCTATCTTGGCTTGCGGATCACCCGGGACAGAGCACGGCGCACCATCACCCTGACTCAGTCACACATGGTGCAGCAGGTCCTCCAGCGCTTCCGCTTCACGTACTCCTCGCCTCAGTCCACTCCTCTGCCTACCGGTCACTCGCTCTCAGCTCTGCCTTCGGATGAGTCCGTAGAGCCGAGTGGCCCGTATCCAGAGCTTGTGGGCTGCCTCATGTACCTGATGACCTGCACTCGACCTGACCTTGCATACCCTCTTAGCATCCTAGCACGCTATGTCGCTCCTGGCCGTCACCGGAAGGAGCACATGGATGCTGCTAAGAGGGTGTTGCGCTACTTGTGCAGTACGTCGGGCATGGGGCTTGTGCTTGGAGGGCGAGACCGGGTTGTTCTCACAGGGCACTCAGACGCTTCTTGGGCAGACGACCAGGCTACTCAGCGGTCGTCCCAGGGTTACACCTTCAGCCTTGGCTCTGGCTCAGTTTCTTGGCGTTCTACTCGCTCTTCTTCTGTTCTCAGCTCCAGTTGTGAGGCTGAGATCTACGCCACAGCCATGGCTGCTCAGGAGCTACGCTGGCTGACCTACCTGCTGACCGACCTCGGAGAGCGGCCTCGTTCTCCTCCAGTGCTGTACGTCGACAACAAGGCTGCCATTGCCTTGTGTGAGGAGCACAGACTGGAGCACAGAACGAAGCACATCGCTCTGCGGTACTTCCTTGCTCGAGAGCTGCAGCAGCGTGGTCAGCTTTGTCTGCGTTACGTGGCCACAGAGGCCAACACTGCTGATGTGTTCACCAAGGCGCTTCAGCCTTGTGACCATCAGCGCTTTTGCACTCTGCTAGGCCTTGTACCTACTGGGCCTCACTTGCTTACCTCTTGACCTTACTTGTACTGTGATCACTATATATATATGCCTTCTTGCTTACTTTTGCTAGGTTGTGATCACTGTATCTCTTACTTTGTTATAAACCTGCATGTGAACTGGTCTTGTGACCGCTTGCTTGTGCTCGGAATTTGTGTGGAATCCTTGAGGTCCACCCTGAGCTTGCTTTGCTTTGCTTTGACTGGTCTTGTGACCCTGTGGTTGTTTCCCACTGCGCCTATGGGGGTGTGTCAAACATTGCATGTTTATATTGTCTAGGCTGTAGTGGGTTACACCTTAGGGGGTACACAAAGTTAGGGTTTCCTACTTGTACCAAACTCTGTGCTAGTTCATTTCATTCCTGCTCAGTTATTTCTGACAACTCATACACCTCAGGACCTTCGCCGCAGTCTCAGGAGAACACCCTAACTGGAACAAATGCTCAATAATCCCTTTTCATATCTCCCCGGAACAAATCCTTCTGGCCGGCCCCATTCCCATTCGCACTCCTCAAGAGGCAGAACGCATTCTTGGCATCTACGTTGAACGTGCACAGCCAGGCGCCACCACCTGGTCCACGACTCTCTCTCGCGTTCAGCGCACGGCTAAATTCCTCGCCGCCCTTCGTGCCACAGCCACCTGCCGCAAGTCACTTGCGTTGGTCTTCTTAAACTCTATCATCTCCTTCCCCGGCCGCTTTCAAACCCCCTCCCCCGACGTTATCAAACGATTAGACGTCCTGGTCGGAAACTTTCTATCCTCTTCGCGTTTCAAGGAGCACGGCCTAGCAGTCCGTCTCATCCCTAATCAGCTCCTGTATAATTCCACCCGCCACGGAGGCCTTGGAGCGATTGCCCCCTCCACCCAAATCCGTGCTCTAGCTGCTCACCGCGCGCTCCGTCGCCTCGGCGCCTCACCATCAGAAGAGATAGCCAGAGCCGCCGTCTGCCTCCCATTTGGCACACACTGTCTCTTCGCGCACCCTGCCATCCTTCAAGCAGGCATTCTGCCAACGATAATCCCAGGCCGAGCACTCGCTGAACTACACGCATTAATAGAGATCACTCCGAACATTGCCCCACCTCGCCTCGTCCCCATGTGTATAATGGGCGAGCCCACCGCCTTCAATCGTTTCATTCTCAAACCAAACGGGAAGCCCTTCGGAATCCTCACGCGTGAACAGTTCCTCCTATCTAAGCAGGTCCGTGTCGGCCATTTGATCTCTCTTATCTTTCACTCGCTTGGTGTGGTCTCCTTCAAACACTTCACCTCACTGTTTCCCATAGCCAACTCCTCCTCTGGACGAAGAGTCTGGCGCGAACTCATCCGTGCCATCCCCAAACCCTGGTGGTCAACCCTTCGCTCCCCCCCTCCCCCCTCGGCAGTCCCTGGGGAGTGGTTCGTCCCTAAAGAAGACTCCGAAACCTCTCCCACTATTGCTTTACAGGTCACGGCCTTCTCCCCTCCGTCGTCGCTCTCAGTCTCCCTTTACCGTGTCCTGCCCAACCGACTCATCGCCCGACCGTCGATCGGAGATAGCACCTTCCACATAGGTGCCCTCTGTGCGGTACACGTTGTCGGGTCCTGGCTTGCAGGCCCCTTCCATACAGGTGCAGGGCTTGGCGCGCGGCTCGACATCCTCCGGGACGGCTGCCCAAGCGTAGCTGACATTCGTCGCCGGCTCTATGCTCAACTTCCCCTCGACCACGCCGCCCGCTGGATCCACGTCCTCCCCGCTCCTCCTCCCTTCTTCCCCGACCTCTCCCATGACTTTCTACGGGAGCAACCCAGCCTCCAACGCGACGTCTTGTATCGGTTCTACACTCGCGCTCTCCCTTCGGGTTCACGCTTCAACTTCGCCGCAGACCGTGGGATTTGTTCACTCTGCCTCGCCGCTCCCACGGAGACCATATCCCACATTTTTTACGAGTGCGGGGTGGCCCCCGCGGTAATTTCCGCCCTCTCTTCCGTCGCTCGTCGTCACCTCCACTGCTCTCCTCCTCCTGAGCTCCTGCTCTTCCCGCTCGCCTCCAGAGCTGGCCAGGTGGCCCCTTGGAGCCTTCTGGTTGGGGCATCTACAAAAGCTATTTGGAACGCACGCTGTGAACACAAGTTCCAAGATTCGCCCCCCTCCCGGTTTGAAATCCTCCAGCTCATACTGGCAAAGTTCCTCATTGCTTTCAAAATTTTCTTATGGCGCAGGAAGAAACAATCAGTGAAAAAACAACAACGCTCAGCCGCTCGTATTAAGCTGGCCACTCGACTTCGCTTTCTCGTCTTCGACCACAACGGAACCCCTTCTATCCACCCAGACCTCCGCTCTTCCTGGCTGCTTGGGGACCCTTTCCGCCCCCCCTAGCCCTCCCACCCTTTGTTGAGCATAGAAGAGCTCCCCAGCTGAGCTGGTGGCTATCCTTGGATAGGGGAATAACGTGTTTTCTTACGTACGCCTCTGGGCTGTTGGTTTGTGTAGACCATATTTCTAGCTACTCTATGCTTTGCTGTACACGGTTACGACCTAATATAACCTTAACCTTAACCTCGCAAGCAGTCGTCTCCTCGCAAGACAATCTTCCTCCTCTCCCCCTCTCGATCCATAATTTAATTCCAAGGTTTCGAGACGTTGAATGCAGAATAATGAACCAACTTACTTGTCACTGCTGCAAGCAACAAACGAAAAAAAGTATGACGCTAGAAGGGAACACCGCAATGGCAGCCTGTTGCTCGGTAATTGACAGCTGCGACAATTCGCAAGCACACGGTAGGCTGGAGAGATGCCCGTCTCGGACATAATTTCATGCTGATTGGACAAAGGCTTTAGTGTCCGCGTGAAAGTGGTCGATTTTACGGAGAGGTTCACGTGACAATTGACGTGTGACGTCATCCTAGCATCAAGCAGGTGAAGGTGGCGACGGTTTTGGGCGGTGAAGAGGGAGATCCACCACACAGAAGAAGAGGGGGAGGAGAATCGAGGGAGTTCACTCGATCGCGCGAACGTTGTGGGGGAACGTCGAAACGGGTGGTCAAGATTCAAGACGAGGTGGCTTACGGATTTGGCGAAGGGGTCCTCTGGTACTGTAGCTCTAAGCCAGTTGAATCAATCCACCTGGTACAGGTGGCTTGCGACGTTGTCCAAGGGCTGCGCTGGTTGCCGATTATACAAATCCGTCGAACTTGCCTCATTTGGGCGTTTCTCTGGTCGTGTGTGTGATTCTCGCTCGTTTCAACGACCTCTCTGCTGAAAGATTTTGAGAGCTGGTGAATAATACCAGTTCAACGTTAATAACATGGCTTGTATATTTTATCTATAACCATTTCATGTGGGTTGTACAGGTACAAGTACGCCACAACGGTAAGCACACATACCATAAGAAAAACTGGCCCTTCCACCAAACTAGCACAAAATAACATTTATACCAAGCACAAGAGAGCCTAGCTAGTCATGGTTGCAATCTGCCTACAATCTCTTCTATTGCTGCACCTCTCTTGAGCTTGCTGACTCTGGCCTGCACAATAAGGGCGTATTCCTATCCTCCTATCAAGAAAACCTCTTATCAAGCTCACACTGAAAAATTCCCTAAACCCAAAATCTCTCGCTACTTTCACCAGGCAAAATGTGCATTCTTGATAGGAGGTTTCTTGATAGGAGGCCGTAGGAATACGCCCTTAAGAGGACCTGGGATCAGAATTTCTACAATAGATAAAGTTCGTGTGACATGTGCAGCAAGGTTACGCATCATACCTGTAGATTGCTTATGTGTAGAACTGCAGCTTCTATCATAGCACCCACGTCTTGTTGTGCACCCAGCAGACTTTCTGGTATGGCTTGCCTTAGCTGCCTTAATCCCTCGCTGCAATTCAAGAAAACAGGCAGGAAACATAATGCCGGACTACACTGGGTGAACATAATGTCATGAACAGACGCGTGTTCAGCAATGTTAATAAGCTTCGCATGCAGCAGGATCGCATTCCCCCCCTGATCTCTTTCTCGATCACTCTCACACCTTCCAAACACCATCAAGCTCACCTGATCTTGTCTCGCCGCCGTCTCTCCTTCATGCTCCATGGCTTGATCTCCCCCTTGCGCATCGCCTCAGCATCAAACCGCGTTCGACTTCGCGGCCGCCAGTCATCCTCCGCAGGCAATCCAGCCGACAAACCCGCCCCGCCTCATGACAATGGCGCTGACGTCGCAGGTCCCGCACCCCCCCTTCCGGGGAACGCCAGAAAATGAAGGGGAAACCGCAGCAGGAGCAGAGGCAGAAGCAGAAACACGAGCAAGGGCAGACGCAGGAGCAGACGCAGAAGCAGAAGCAAGAACAGCACGAGCAGCTGTAAGATCTGATTTGACGTATTCCAAGCCGTCGAAACTCGAAAATGCGCCATCATTCGAGAGCATAGCCGTGGAATGACTGACAAACTAACTGCTGCTGAGCCACATGTGTCTCCTCCACTGCAGATCTCGGCTTTGCCAGTTGACTTACAGTCAACGCAAGAGTCACCCTGAACTTCTCCCTTAAGAGCAGTGCTCGGTGTCTCCAGTAGCGGTTAACTCGACTCAGAAGCCACCCGGGATGCGCCTGCGCTTGCAGCCGAGCCGTGTTTTGAGACGACTCAACAAGTGACGGTTAAATCGACTCTGAAGTTACCCTGGATGCACCTACTGCTGAGCCACATGCTGTCCCCCCCACTGCAGATCTTGATGTCTTGACGGCTGCATTTCCTGGGCTCTTCTCCAGGGCTTCAATTCGGCCCTGCACACATAAAACAAACACCAGAGCACAGAAACGGCTCCTTTGAGTCATCAAAAACTATTCTGGAAGCCCCCCCTCAGTGCCTGCTTGAGCCTATACCAGCAGTGGCATATGGCTGGCACACAGATTGCGGAAACATACATACGTGTCAGCCACATTTAGTTACAGGAGTAACAATCACACACGAATTATCAGACCATTATAAATGACTAAATGCGAGTGTACCTGTAGGTCTTTTATGTGAGTGAGTGCAGACTCCACCATTGTGGCTGTATCGAGTTCTGATCTTGCTAGAGATGGGGGTAGAGCACGATGTAGCAGCTCCAGGCCTCTCCTGATACAATCACATTCGACACAAGCACCGGAATTTCAATAAGGCCAGCGATTCGCTTTCACGCAGGCATCCCCATTTGATCTAGAGCTCCCAAAAAAAAGAAAAAAAAAAAAAAAAAAAAAAAAAAAAGAGCGGTGAAGGGGGGTAAGACCGACAGCAGCGAGAGCGAAACAATGAAAAGGCAAAAGTGGAAAAGAAGAGGATGGGTACAGTAGTTAACGGGAAGAGGGGGAAGGGAATGGAGGAGGGGTGGGTGGGTGGAGGGGGAGGGGCAGGAGGAGGGGGAGGAACAATGGGTGAAAGGTCAGAAAGAGAAGGAGTGAGGGAGAGGAAAAAGGGGGAGTGGGTGTTGCAATAAGAGTGGCCAGTCACCTGATGCGATCGCGCCGGCACCTCTCCTTCATGCTCCTCGGCTGAATGCATCCCAGCCCCACCGCCTGCCCGTCCAACCGCGCTCGAATGCGCGGCCGCCAGTCCTCCAGCAGTATTCGCCGTGCTTGAGAAGGCGATGATTGTGGCGCCTTAAAGGGCGATACTTGCGATGACTGGAAAGGCGATTGTTGTTGCGCCTCAAAATGGGGCTTTTGCTTTGGGTCAAGTGTGAGATGACGCCAGTCCCCCTCTCTCCACCTCCTCTCCTCCGGCTTTGCCTGTCTCATGCTGCCTGTCAAGGCATGCTCTATTTTTCCCTCTGAATCAGCAGAAGCACAAGCAGAAGGCGACCAGGAAACAGCAGGAGCAGCGGGTGACCAGGAAGCACCCGCAGCAGCGGGTGAGAAGCGAACAGCACAAGATCTGGGCGAGAAGAAAGCAGCGGGCAGGTAGGCAGCAGCAGCAGCCGCAGAAACAACAGCATCAGCCCCAGCAGAAACAGCAGCAGCATCGGCAGCAGAAACAGCAGCAGCGCCGGCAGCAGCAGCAGCAGCATCGGCAGCATCGGCAGCAGCAACAGAAGCGCTGGCAGCAGCGGGTGGTGTTGTTGGGGAGGCTGGAAGCGAAGCATTCTCTGGTGAGTTGAGGCTGCCTGGGCCAGTAAGGTCGTCTGCAGATGCATGCTGCATGCTGGCGCTCCCTTGTCCCTCCTGCCAGGCCTTCTCCTGCCATGCCTTCTCCTGCCATGCCCCGTCCTGAAATGCACATTCCTCAGGCACTTCAGAAGATGGTTCCTGCATCACACCCTCCTGCATCATTTCCCCCAGCACCGTCCCTCCTTCCAGCAACATTCCTTCGTCCAGAATCACACAATCTTGCAGCATCATTCCATGCATCCCCCCCAGCAAATCCCCCTTCATCTGCATTACACCCAAACAGGGGCCCTCCTCCTGCCGCTCTGGGAAAGGCAGATTCCGTTTTCCCACTTCGTCTTGTGCATGAAATTTCTCAGATCTCTCTCGCAGAGTCTGCTCCCCTGACTCAGCTTGCTCCTGCATCTGCATCTGTGCAAACCGGGCGGCATGTGCAGATTCTTGGATCAGATCGGGCGGCAGAGCCAGTCCTGCCAGCTCAGCCTGTGCCACCCAGCTTGTTATCGCCACTTGCTGCTGCTTCTGCATCAGGGAGGCCGGTGCTGCTGCATCTCTATCGAGAGTACCGGCAACATACTCTCCACAGCCTGCAGCCACCATACTCTCTGTTCTGACTGCTGTATCTCCTTGACTGGTGGCGTTGACAACACCGAAGCATGGCTCCACAACGCTCTCTTTCCTGGTTGTTGCATCTCCAGCATTGGTCTTCATACCGCAGGAGCCTGGGACGGATATTATTCTCTCTGGCGCGGAGGGGCTCAGTCTTTGAGGCGCCTCAAGAATCCTCTCTGGTGCGGAGCCGCTTAAAGCCTGTGCAATCCACCTCTCCACTGCCACTTGCTGCTGCTGCTCTTGCTGCCAGCAGTGCTGCTGCTGCTGCTGCCGTTGCTCCTCTTCCAAAAGCTCAGCCACGGCTCTTTCCAACCGGGGGACTTTAGAAGAATCCGTTGACGCGTTTGAACGGGGCGGAAGAGCCGCTGACTCATGGGGAAGCACTGGCAAGCGAGGTGGAAGCATAAACGGTGCCGTAGCGGGACATTCAAGTGGGCCATGGCGTCTCACCCGCTGACCGGCTTTCTGAGTCGAGATTCGGGGGTCTTCCAGTAGCGGACGAGGCTGGCCGTACATGAAGGGCGGCACAATGATGGGGTCCCCAAGCTGCCCGTGCGGCCTCAATAGATCCTCCAAGAGACCGCTCTCCTCCTGACTCGATATCTGCGCATCAAGAATGCATGCCGATATCTGAGCCTCGTGCATAACGCTGGGTTCAATGGTGGTAGCATCGACTCCTTGCCGCTGCCCCCACAACAAAGTCTTTGATATGCCTTCTCCGACTGACTCAATTTCTCCAACTGACTTGAATTCTCCAGCTGACTTAATTTCTCCTGCTCCGCAGCTGGAGTGTGAACAGGATCCATACGCACATGATGCGCTCTTGTTAGGTATCCCAAAGAGGGCTCCTATGTCATGGCGCTCCAACATGACCCCCGAGCGGCCTTCCCCCAGCAGCTTCGTTCCTCCTGATGCAGACATCCATCGTGGGGGCACATATCCGGCGAATGTGAGCTTGTCGCGCGTCTCCCAGAGAGCTCGCATGCTGGGGTCATCGCCATGATGCTCCAAAAACTCCCTTTCACGGCAATCCCCCAGCAGCTTCGTTCCTCCAGACGCAGCAATCCATATTGAGGGCCCATATCCGGCGAATGTGGGCTTGTCGCGCGTCCCCCAGAGGGCTCGCATGCTGGGGTCGTCGACATAACGGCGCCCCAACACCTCCCCCAAAGGGCCTGCTGCTTCAAGTTGATCGAGAACGCAATTTTGTTGCTTTTGAGAATAATCCAAACACCCAGCTGCTTGAAGCTGATGCGGAACGCCTTTCTGTTGGTCCATGTCTGCAGGGTCGAGCAGTGCCTCTCTGGTTTGCCAAGGAAGTTTCGCCTGAAGGCTACTGAGAGGGATTTCTTACTCTTGGAGTCATGCGACTCGAGAAACAAGGCCGGCGGAATGGGAAGCTAAGATAAGATAAGCGGCTTTGGTGGGGCGGGAATAAACGTCTGACAGATTTGTGAAGGGAATTGGTATCTGGGTAGCTTTACTTCAACCCCTTCCTCTTCCTCCGCTCATATCCTACGCGCGTGGTAAAACCAGGGCCGCACCAAGGCGCTCCGATGGGAAGGAAATAAGCGAGGGGACGCCGGGGCTTCCGGTAACCATTTCGCGTGAAATGGGTGTCCATGGAACCTCCGCTGTAACATCCGCAATGTAAGACAAGCTCCCACCGCCTCGACCGCACCTCCCACTGTCACGAGGCAGCTTCACAGTCCAGCTTGGCGGCTCGTTGTAACGTGAGACGGGGTTTCTGAATCGCATCTGCAGAGTCTTGATCTGTCGCGCAGCGATTTGATTGTCGCTTATTTCTCGAGTCGCCTTTAGAATTCAGTCGGACAAACTTCTGTCGTGGCGAGTATGCACGCTTATCGTCTATTAATTGTCTCTACCAAACAAACGACGGCGGAATTCCAAGTTGAAATGCCACATCGAACCAATTTGACTTGCGTCGAGCGACAACGCGCGTCGTCTCTCAAAGGCAAGGGTATCCCGAGGAAGAAAATCTTGGGATACCCGTCCTGTGTTGCTCATTCGCCCTGAGCTGGAAGCACGTGAGCATGGGTGTCAACAATGAGGAGCGCACGGGAGCATGATAGCGTCTGGCCGCAACGTGACAAGCTTACACGGGATTCGACCGAGAATTCGGAAGTGCCGAAGGCAGCTTGTCAGATGTCGACACGTGTTCAGACAGCTAACAACCCTCCAGCCTCTGCTGCTGCTGTGCTGCTCTTGCGCCTCCTACTTGTCCTCCTTCTCCAGCGCCTTCCAATCCCCTTGATAAGGCCATGGCCCGGCCTGCTAACCTCCATGGTGCCCCTTCTCGTCCCCTAACCCCGTGCTGCGCTGGCGGAATGAACTGGCGGGTTTATGAGCTCAAGGATGCCAGCTTCGGAAACGGAGCGGGGCGGTGCTGACCGCCAATCTCGAGATTCTCCTCGCGGCGCGTGGACAAGCATGAGGTAGGCATGGGCGGCAAAGAGAAGTAGATTCTGAGTTTGACAACTCTCAGCTCTCGTCGCTATGCCCTTAGTCTAGATCGAATCACAGTTACCGCCTCATACATAACCGCTACCGTACAGCAGATCGCCGACCAGCTGTACTAAGACTGAGGGATGTCGTGCACCATACACATCTTCATTTACTTCTTCCGGGCATCAGTACTGTAATCTAGTCATCCCTCACAGGGAGTCCATTTTTTTTCGAAAGCGATGATCGTGTTCGGAGACATATTATTCGGGATCTCAATCCACGGCTGGAACAAAAGAGAGACTATGGCGCTAGAAGTGGGCATCCCGCCATGGCAGCCTGTTGCTCAGTAAATGACAGCTGCGACAGTTCCCAAGGTTGGTTACAGTACACCCATTTCCAGCGAAATTTCCTTCCATGCTGATTTTGTGCAAGAGATCAGGCCAAGAAAGCCGGCGAAAGGGGCTTTCTGAAGCTCTGATTGGTCAAAGCCTTAGCAGCTATGTGGACGTGGTCGTTTTTGCGGAGAGGTTCACGTGACAGTACGTGACGTCATCAGGCACTAAGCATGTGAAGGTGACGAGGATGGGGCGGGAAAGTGGAAGATGAGCAGGGAAGCGGGGGAAGGAGGAGTCCCGCAGGGAGTTCCTTCCCCCCCCAAATGCCGCTCGGGGGACGAACATTGAAACGGATGGCCGAATGACACAACGAGCAGCTTGTGACTTCATCGAAGGGTTGCGCTCCTAGCCCTTTGGCCAATCAATTTTGTCCACCTTAGGACGAAGAGATGAAAACGAGTCACATCGCAGGTGGCTTGTTCCTTCCTCCTGGCTACTATATCCGTGCTCGATTCGCAAGCCAAAATTTCGAGCCGCTGTTTTGGGAGCTGATGAATAGATTGTGATTGAATTACAACATGTATCCTTCCAGGAGCATTTGATAGGGGTTATGGGTGTAGGCTAATAAGCACAAATAACCCAACTAGCACAAAAAAAAAAAAACACACTATGAAGAAGAGAGCCTAACTAATCATGGCTGCATTCTGTCTACAATCTCTTCAATTGCTTCACCTCTTTCGAGCTTGCTCACTCGGGCCTGCGCAAAAACAAAAAAGCATCGTATCAGCATTTTACATCGCAAAATAACCTCAAGGGACATAAGCAAACATGGTGGCACATCGTACCTGTAGATTGCTTATGTGTAGTACTGCTGCTTCGATCATAGCACCCATATCTTGTTGTGCAACCAGAAGACTTTCTGGTATGGCTTGCCTTAGCTGCCTCAACCCCTCACTGGGATAAGACAGGCAGGAAACGTGGCACAGGAAAACATAACGTCATGAACAGATTGCATGGCAATGATCAGTAGCTTCACATGCAACAAGACCGCGCAAGTACAACAATCCCGTTGACACCACACAATCTCGCACGCTTCCCTGACTCCCTTTCCACATTTCCCAACCACAATCAAGCGCACCTGATCTTGTCTCTCCGCCGTCTCTCCTTCATGCTCCGTGGCTTGATCTCCCCCTTCCGCATCGCCTCAGCATCAAACCGCGTTCGGCTGCGCGGCCGCCAGTCATCCTCCGCCGACAATCCAGCCGACAAACCCGCCCCGCCTCCTGACAACGGCGTTGACGTGGCAGGTCCCGCACCTCCTCGGCCTTCCGACAACGTCTGGGCTTTCACTCCTGCCGCCCGTACTGCCACCGTCGCCGCCGCTGCTTCTGCTGCTGCTGCTGCTGCTGTTGCTGCTGCCCCTCCTGCATCTGATGTGCCCACGCGGGGTGAGTCCAGCGCCTGCGTGCTTCCATCCCCGCTGCCGCGTCTCGCATCACCAGGGGTTCCCCCCTCTCCTGCTAATGCTCGCAGTGACTTCACGCCTGCTTGGTTCGGCCGATTTGCCGTGCGTGGACATCTCACAGCCGGTTGGCTTGGCCGGCTCCCGATCAGCAGTGCACCCGACGCATCCGCCCCACGCATGCTTATCAGCGACTGTGGGACGCCGGAAAGTGCCGGGGTAGCAGGAGAAGGAGAAACACGAGCTGGAGCAGACGCAGGAGCAGGAGCAGGAGCAGAAGCAGAAGTAGGAGCAGCACGAGCGGCCGTGATTTCTGTCTTGATGTCTTCCGCACCGTCGAAACCCCCAAATGCGCCATCATTCGCGAGCATAGCAGCATCAGAAGCGGAGAGCATGGGCGCACCAGGTGCTAGCACTCCTGGTAACACCAACCCGCCTTGCCGCATTTTGTGCAGCATTTCCAAAGCGAGCTTGCTGCTCGCGCATTTGGACAGCGGGAGGGCGCCGGATCCGGCGGCGGAGGGCGCGGCGAGCAGCGACCCCTTCTGAGTCGCCGCGGCGGCGCCGCCAGCCGCGCCGCGACTGTGGGTCGTCGGGTGGTGCGGGGAGATTCCGCCAGTCGGGGAGATTGGGGGGAACGTGGAGCCGCCGCCGCTAGTAAAGCGGCAGTCGCCGCCAGGGAACGCGTCTCGCTCAGCCTGACTCGGAGTCGCTGTTGTTACTGTGGCGTCCCCAGGCCGGGTGAGAGTCAAAGCCTGAAAGTTGCGGCTCGCGTCGCCGTCACGACCCCGAGTCGCGAAGCGCCGTTGGTTCTGATCGGATACGCTTCCAGTGGCCGACAAGCGCGGAGATTCCACACCAAACGGCGCGGAAAATCCGTGTCGCGCGATTGGGCCTGAGGTCGCTGTCGGAACGTTCTGCGCGAAGGAACTCGCTCCGCCGGTCACAGGTCTGGTTACCACCGTGTCGTGAAGTTCAAGTGCCGACGCCACGTCGAATGGCGGCGAGGAGAGCATCTGAAGCTGAGCGAACAACGCGGCGTCGGCAGACTGTTGGAGCAAGTCGAGGGGAATCTGCAAGCCTGGCGCCAGCGCCGCGCCGGCAATGTCGCCGTCTGTCGCGCCGCTAACCTCTTCCAGCGCGCGCAGCCATTGCTCCACATCCGCCGCGGATGAAGTTTCCGTGGCGACTCGCGACGCCGGCCCGGCGCCGTCATGCTGTGTCTGCTCCCGCCGCGCGTCTAGCAGTGCAACCGCGGCGCGGTCATTGATGACGTCACATCCTTCGCGGCCGGTGCCCCCGTGAGGAGCTGCGCCGGTTGCGGCGGTTAAATGCCGAATCCCGTCGCGATCAAGGTCGCTGGGAACCATTGAGGCTCGATGGAGATTTTCCAAATGTTTCGCGTCACTCGAAGCAGTTCTATTGAGCGAGGAGTCGCCGTCGGAAGCGGGCGCTCCGGAAATTGCGACGAGAGACCCGTTTACGGCGGAACATCCCTCTATCAATGCTTCGAGAATATTATCTTCTAGCGCGGCACGGCCGCAGTTGGAGGGAGACGAAAGGACGTTATCTCTGGAACGATTAGTAACTTGCGCGAATAGACCGAGGCTTTCGTCGAGCAGCAGCGACGTGGGTGAGTAATTGAGATGTTCTGAGTCGAGAAGCAAATTCGCGGCTTCGTAAAACGAAAAGTCAGCACGCGGCTGCTGCAGTTGTTCCTGTCGTGGCTGCTGCTTCTGCTGTTGGGACATCGGAGTGAGGGAGAAATGCGGGGAGCCGTAAGGAAAAGGACAGAACAGGGAATGTGAACGGGTGGGAGACTGGGAGTCCGGGAGTTTGGCAAAGTCTGCGTGGAAATCGGCCCAGCAAAGACAAAGGTCAGAGTGATGGGAATGGATGGGTAACTTTGGCCAAATGCGGGCCTTCTATTTGAAGGTTCAGTGTGAAACGGAACTAGGCGGCGAGACGAGGGCTCGTGGTGGTTCAGTGTGTGGTGATCGTGTGGACCCTGGTTCAAGAAAACAAGGACTGATTCACTCGGTGAAAAGCTGGTGGGAAAAAGAGATTCAATTTCTGAGACGCGGGCGATCAGTCACCCTAGCTGAATGCTGCTGGCGGTGAGAGAAAGTCAGCTGTTCCAAGTGGGCATTGGAAAATGACAGGGAAGGCGAAGCGTGGAGTAAAAAACGGGCCAGTAGGCGGGCGAAGTGCGCGTGATGGCGTACGGCTGGGTCGTGTGGATTGAGCCGACAAGGGGGAAAAATGTTGCACCCAAGACAAGCAGAAAGCTGCAAGTACAGTAGATCGTTAGGGGTTCAATGGGAAAGAGAAACAAAATTCTCGCATGAATATTTGAGTTATGGTGTAAGCCGTTCGCACCGAAAGCCCCTCTATTCGCTTCTAAAGGATAGGCAGGTAGCGAATCTTGCGCATCTCACGAATGTCTCGCAGAATCTTGTAACTTAAGTCGGCGATTGATCTCGTAACTGGCATACCTCTCATGCTTGGGTGTAACAGTCTGGATAGTCCTTCGTCTTCGAGCTCTGCGACAAGAAGAAAGCGAAGTCGCCATTCTTGCCACAGAGTTTACTGATCTGACAAATTTGATTCCCCCGGTCCAAGGCATCAGATTTGATTGAACTAGCAAATAACAGCCAATCAACAGGTGGATGGATCATGCGCGTGAAGATGACGGTTCAAGTCTACAGTTGAGAGCTCCTCCACGCGTGAGAACGTTGTTGTCGTTGTCTCGCTGTAGTCACCCACGCTGTAAGAAAGCTGCAAGCAAGCGAGCAGGATTTTATTAGAGTTGTTGTGTCGTGTAGGGCGGGCACAGGTCGTGGAATATTCTGTCTTGCACTTGGTGGTGACGCTTGTTCTCACTGTACAGCGTGGTGAATTTTCCCAAAACGGAGTCAAACGCGGATTCACCCTATAACGCAATGCAGCATTTCAGAACGAGCTTACAAATGAGACAAAGCTGTATTGTTTGTCAATATACTATGTAGCTAAATCACTTGGACACGACTCCAGGTTTCAGTCTTTAAAATACATATCAATGCGTGAATCGTGGCCATCGTCTTTGTCTGCATCTTCCTCATTTGCAGAGTTGTCATCCATGTCCTCTTCCATTTCCCCTTCCATTTCCTCAGCCTTAACATCCCGAAGCCCACTCCCGGGTGACTCATGCCCGCTCGCATCTTCCTTTTTCTGACAATCGCTTTCCCCTCCATTCCCACCCTCGTCTGCCTCTATTTCCTGGATGCGGGACTGGTACATGAAAGAAAGTGCAACGCAAGTTCCAGAAAGGAAAAATCAGCCAGCGGAAAGACATACAAGTTGGCACCACATCAGCCCCAAAAATGGACTACTGGGTTTGTTAGAATGTATGTCCTGAAAAGAATGAAAGTGGGAGGGGCCACAAAGACAAGCTGCAAACAGCCACCCAACTTAGCCCAGCCCAGCCCAATCCAGCCCAGCCCAACCCAACCCAACCCAGCCCAATACAGCACGACCCAGCCCAACCCAGCCCAACACAGCCCAGCCCAGCCCAGCAGCTTGCCTCGAGAGTCCCAATGTGCTGAATGGCCGCCTCAATCATCGACGCCATGTCCTGCCGCGGCCCCAGCAGCATGGCGGGGAGTGCTTGCCTCAACTGCCGCAGCCCATCACTGGTGATGAGTGTAGGGAGGGAATGGCGGGCGAGGGGGTGGAGGGAAAAAGGGGGGGAGGAAGAGAGGGAGGGATGGGAGGAGGTGGAATGTAACCATTACCTGCCGCGGCCCCAGCAGCATGGCGGGGAGTGCTTGCCTCAGCTGCCGCAGCCCATCACTGGTGATGAAGGGGAGAATAGGTGGGGGAGGGGGAAAGTGGGGGTGGGGCAAGGGAGGGGAGGACGGAGGGGGGAGAAGGAGGGGGGAAAGGGAGGGCGGGACAAAGGGAGGGGGGGGTGCAGCCATGCCCTGCCATGGCCCCAGCAGCATGGCGGGAAGTGCTTGCCTCAACTGCTGCAGCCCATCACTGGTTGTGCAGTGGGGTCGGGAATGGGGGGTGAGTGGGGAAAGGTGGGAGAAAAAGGCGGGAGGGAAACGGAGGGGGAGAAGGAGGGGGCAAAACGAAGGGGGGAAATGAGGGGGGAGAAAGGATGGGGGAGAAAGGAAGGAGGGGCGATGGCACAATGAAATGTGTGCTACCAGCAGCAAAGCAGGACACGCGAGCCTTAGTTGGCGCACACCATAGCCACTCGTGCAAGCAGAGAATGGGGAAGGGGGAAGGGGGAACGGGAAAGGGGGAAGGGGGAACGGGAAAGGGGGAAGGGGGAACGGGAAAGGGGGAAGGGGGAACGGGAAAGGGGGAAGGGGGAACGGGAAAGGGGGAAGGGGGAACGGGAAAGGGGGAAGGGGGAAGGCGGAAGGGGGAAGGGGGGGTAGATAGAGAGTAAGGGGGGCAGCGGAGGGGAAGACAGGAATATCTGGGTTTTAATTTGGAACCTCACCTGATCTTGTCTCGCCGCCGCCTCTCCTTCATGCTCCGCGGCTTGATCACGCCTCTCGCGATCGCGCCCGCGTCACATCGGGTTCTAGTCCGCGGCCGCCACTCCACCTCCACATGCTCCGGCAAACCTTCAGGCAAACCCTCAGGCAAGCCTTCAGGCAGAATTTCAGGCAAGGATTCAGGAAAGCGTTCAGGCAAGGCTTGGGGCACGGCTTGGGACAAGCTTTCACGAAGGGCTTCGGGCAGAGATTCAGGCAGCAATTGATTTTGTTCTTCAGGCAGGGCTCCTGGAACGGCTTTAGGCAGGGCTTTAGGAAGGGGCTGAGGCAGGGGTTGAAATGGATGCTGAGACGCCCCAACAACACCTGTTAGCGGCTTGCACTCTGCCTGCACTGCATCTACCTCCCTCACACTCGCACTCTCCCTCACTTGTGTACGCCCCCCCTGAGCGCCAATCCCCCTCACGGTGGCTGATCCCTGTCGCCCTCCTCCTCCCCTCATCCCCTCGTCTTCTTCCCCCCTCTTTCCTTCTTTGTTGCCCAACCCAAGCCTGTTCCCTCCAGCCGCTGCTGGGGCGGCCACAGCAGCAGAAGCAGCAGCAACGGATGCCGCAGCACCCCCAGCAGTCGCCACCATAGCCCCAGCAGCAGTTGCGTATTTCTGAGTCGACTCCAAAACAGCCGCCGTAGCACCCTCAGCAGCAGTTACACCGGAGCGAGGAGCTGCGCAAGTGCCAGCAGCACTGCTGCTGTCGGCGCTAGTGGCCATTTCCTGAGGCCCGCACACCACAGCTGCGCGCATTGACACAGAAGCAGCACCCGTCAATGGAGCAGCAGCGCCCGCCAGAGGAGCAGCAGCATCGGGTCTCGTACCGCTAGGCTCCACACTCCCTTGCACCGCAATGCCACGCCCCACAATGTCAGGCGGGGGAAAGCCTGGTTGACTCATGCAACCCAGATTCATAGGGCCCTGATTGGTGAGGCCCTGATTGGTTGGGCCCTGATTGGTGGGGCCCTGATTGGTGGGGCCCTGATTGGTGGGGCTCTGATTGGTGAGACCCTGTCTTAAAGGCCCATGGGATCTAGAGGCGCCTAAAAGGGACTGCTGAAGGAGCGCCAGAAGCACCCCCGGGGGAATCTGCTGCTGCTGCGGCATTTCTTGTTGCTGTGGCGGCTGCTGCTGCTGCTGCTGCTGCTGCTGCTGCTGTTGCTGCTGCTGCTGCTGCTGCCCTTGCTGCTGCTGTTGCAGCTGTTGCTGCTGTGCCAGAAGCTCCAGTAGCGCTAGTTGCTCAGCAGAGGGACCGCCGCGTCGAGCCTCCTGGCGCAGCAACCACTCCTCTAAACCCGCCGCCGCCGGCGCCGCTGGCGCTGCTGGTGCTGTAGCCTCGGGTCGCGGGATATTAGGGTTTCGAGGTTGAAATTTGTCCAGTGGGTATGGAGCAGCTTGGGGTTGCAGCAGAAGAGAATGCGCTCCTTGCTGCTGCTGCTGCTGCTGCGGATAGTGTTGCTGCTGGTTATGCTGCTGCATTTGCTGCTGCTGTAACTGCTGGTGCTGCTGCCGTTGCTGCAGCCGATGTTGCTGCTGGAATAGAGGCGTGGAGGCTGCTGACTGAGACGGATCGTCTAACCCTGGGAATGCCGGGAATGCGGCAAAATTGTCGCACGGCGGACGACAATTCCCGTTCCGCGGTTGCATGGTGCCGATCAAACTGGGGACCGACGCAAATTTACTCGCGTATTCGCAGGATAATTTATAGACTGGCGGGACGGCAAGAACAATTCTTTTGGCCTCGAAGTTGGATGTTCAGGTGCCTCTGCGCAGAAGCTCAGTCTTACCAATTTGTTCGTTTAAGAACCTTAATAAGAACAACTTGATG